TATATATATATTTAAATTTATTTATATAATTTATTTACTTTTTAAATTAAATTTGAAAAGCATTTAAATTTCTAGAAAACATGTTTAAACAGTATTAAATAAAATATGTAATTACATTATTATTTAAAATGTTACATTTTATATATACACGTATATTTTTTAAATATTATAATTAAATACTACTGTTTTTCTAGAAATTTGTATTTGTATTCATTTTTTATTTTGATTTTTAAATAAAAAAAATTTCTAGAAATTTTCTACAAAGTCAAATTTTTTATTAGAGTTAATATGTAGTGATTATAATTAACAACTTAAAAAAGTAACTTAATTACAGTATGTCATGATTTCATCCTTACAGGTGAATTTCATTCCTCCTTTGGCTGACTGCTCTGTACAGAGTGAAAAAGCACAGGCCTTTCTGCCCATATATATATATATATATATATATTATTATATATGTTAGAATTTATTTACATTTTAATTTTAATTTTAAAAGACTTTACATTTCTAGAAAAAGTATTTAAAATATTTAATCAAACTAGTATTTAAAATGTTTTTTTATATTTAATGAAATACTTTTTTCTAGAAATGTTCTAGAAATCTACAAAGTCTAATTTTTAATTAGTTAATATGTAGTGATTATAATTAACTTAAAAAAATTACTTATAAAAAAACCAAGGCAGTGGTAGGTTGAAACCTCTCAGTAGAACCAACCAGAACAGTAATGCCAAAACTCAAGACATGAAATATGGAAACTGTGTGGAACTGCTTGAGACCTAATCCATTAAACCAGCTTCCTCTGCCATCGGAAAGCCGTAATCCTACCCGGAGCTGTTTGGGAAAACTGTCAGTCTTCAAATGAAGTTAATTATGTTTCACAGCATTCTGCCACTAAAGCAGCATGTCTGACTGTATTGTGTATCATAAAAAGTAATTCTGAAATGTAAATGAGGCGAACGAGAAGAAAGGTTTTTGTTATCTTCCTAAAATTATCTCATCAACTCATCACTGCAGGGGGCTGGAATTAGATGATGGTTGTTTTTTCTCTACTGTCACCTCTGTGCAACATGTTTGTCATGATGATCTATCTATCCATCCATCCATCCATCCATCTATCTATCTCTGACTCTCCTGTAGGTCATTTTGATCTGATATTGATGGCCGAGATTCAATCACAGGCACCTCTCTGACACCTTTTGAATCTCCATATTTGTTTCAGGACTGACCTTGCGCTGACCCTGATGTTGGACGTGAACCGCTCTTTAATTAAGTGACATACTATATAAAAACTGTCATATTTGTATTATTGATCCAAGAGCTCACTTATAAAAGCTCTCTTGTATGACAGATTTGCTGTCAAATCATTTCAAGTGAGGTCAAGGAGATATTGTCCTTCTGATATTACTTTTTTTTTTTCTTCATTGTCTCTTTTTGTGTGTAACACTGCCTTTTTTCATTCCCGTCTCATTTTGTTGTCTCAGGTCAGATATGCCAAAGGAACTAGTCCTCTGACCGCAAGGTCTCTACAACTGGACAGGCCTAAGAGGACAATAAAGCATCCATATGCTGATTCAGATTCAAGTCCTGATGATTCAGACCAAACCCCAGCCCTCCTGTCCAACAAACTCCGGCCATGTCCCGAGCAGGAGCTTTGGGATTGGGCTCCAAACCTGACGGAGACACACCCATCCGCCCAACAATCCAGGAGACGGGTCACAGTGAAAAGTGGAAAAGCTAAGAAGATGTTCGGCTGGGGAGATTTCCAATTCAAAGTGAAGTCCACGAGCCTCAACCTGCTCATCGCTGGCAAGATCGTGGATCACGGCAACGGAACGTTCAGCGTTTATTTCCGATACAACACCACCGGAGGTGGAAACGTCTCCGTAGGGCTGGTTCCTCCAAGCAAATTGGTAGAATTTGATGCGAAGACTCAACAAACCGTTCTGCACTCGGTAGAGTCAAGGATGTTTAACTGCAGGGTGGAACATGAGAGGGTGGAGAGAGGTACTAAAAGCACACGCTGCTGGAACGACCCGTCTCATAGCTGTGACCAGGATCAGACTCACAGCCATGTTTCTTGGCTCTGCTCAAAACCATTCAAAGTCATCTGTGTCTACATATACTTCTGTAGCTTGGACTACAAACTGGTGCAGAAAGTCTGTCCAGATTATAACTACCACAGCGAGTCTCCGTACTTACCTTTTGGATGATAATTTTGTCTCATAATGAAAACGAAACTGGTACATTTGTTTATTCTAAAATAATTTGGCAGGTTTTCATTTTGAACTGGAATAGGTAAAGTTCAGTATTTGAACATTTTGTCATGATTTACTCAACTCAACATGTTCTGATTTGAACATATATATATATATATAGTAATAATCTGTAGTAATAATATGTAGCCTAATCTTTCGATTGTGGTTGGCATGACTGTTACAAAAATTAGTTTGGAAAACATTTTTCATGCAACTGACATCACAAAACAAGTGTCAGTGAAAATGCATACAAAATCCATATTACATCTGTATTTATTAAGACAAGCATGTCTGTATATTCATTTAAGATTGTATGGCTATTTTGTGGAGGATAAGATGGGATCAATTTAAAACCATTATATAATTTCATTATATAATAATGAAATGTTCCATTTATTTCATATTACATCTGTATTTATTAAGACATTCATTTAAATCTGTTCATTTAACATTGTATGGCTATTTTGTGGAGGATAAGATGGGATAAATTTAAAACCATTATATAATTTCATTATATAATAATGAAATGTTCAATTTATTTATTTTTAAATTGTGAAAAATCTTTAGTAAAGACATCCTTTGTCTCCATGCACACTTATGATCTTCATCAGAAGTTGATCTCTGTGGCAGCAGGTGCATGCTGGTGAATTTGTGTCATTATTTCTGACAGCCAGAGCAAAACTTAATGAGCTCCTGTAATTGACTTTGCTTTGCTGAGATCGTGTGTCAACGTTTTTGTCATTTCTCTGATGATTTAATGAAACCGCTATGAACGTGAATGTAATTGCATTACTGAATACAGTTTGTTGCCACACTGTTGGAGACAATTACTTCTATTGAAAATGAATGTAAAATGCATGTTTATCAAATCTTCTACATTTCTAATATCTCGTAAATCTTGTACATTTTCATTGTTTCCCCTTTACATCCACCGAGCATCTCTAAATGTACATAATCGCACTGTGATTGGTCAATTCTAATAAGCGCTGATAAAAGTAACAGGCACCACATGCTAACATCTGCCCGCACCTTCTGAGAATAATTTACACCTGAATATACTGATACAAAGAAACTTTAGTGGTCATTTAAAAACTGCGAGACCCTAAAGTATCATTACCATGTCATAAAATCTTTCAGAGCGATCACAGCTGCGCATTTAGAGTCCGTTTCAAGCTGAACGTGACTCAGTGCGCTCTTGCAGTAGCACGCATGACGTCATCACTCCTCCTGCAAGGACACGCGCCCGAAACGCGCAGTGATACACATATAGCGTTTCATTTTCCTATTACAGCATGTCTTAGACATCGACAGCCGGGGTCCAAGCTCATAAGGTGAATCGCACAATAATTCACTTCATTATTATTATCCTAAATAGCTCGTTTCCTGTATTGCATAATGACAGAATATAGTGTTTGTTTTGGTGCGGCAGAGAATGAAATCCGGATGTGAGAATCACATACAGGCTGAATATTGTTTGTGAGGGATGTGTTTACTGTAGTTTAGCTATTATTAATCCAGTTTAATAATAAAGGTAATATCTTCCTATAGAAAAATGCATGTGAAAGATAAAGAAGAGGCCTGTATGTTCAGTGTATTATTTCTTATTTACACGGTGCAATATTAACAAAACATATACATGCTTGATTATTGAATGCTTTGTGACGTATTACCTATAAATCTGTAAATTAACGCAATGTGTTAAACTATTAAACGTGCTAGGCTAATTTCAGTTATAATGGAATAATTATATTTATTTATTTCAGATAACTGATAATCATGGAGAAAGGGAACCAGTGAGTATGCTGAAACCATCCATTTGCAGACATTTATTATAAAGTCTCGAACGTAAACAAAATGAGGTGCATTCATAATTGGTTTGTCGTGTTTCTGCAGAGGTATTTCTCACTTTGATCACTTTCTCCAAAATCAAGAATCATCAGTGGTCAACAAGTTCCAGCAGAAATACTGGAAAACCAAGCAAACACTGATTAAAGTCACAGGAAAGAAGGAAGATGAACATGTGGTTGCTTCCGATGCGGATCTGGACGCTAAACTGGAGGTGAGGAGCGGCTCCAATCCAAACTTTCCTCTGGGTCTGAACGAATCAAATGGTCTTGAGATTAATGTGGTTTTTCATGCTTTCCTTCAGGTGTTTCATTCAGTACAGAGAACGTGCATGGAGCTCCTTAAGGTGATTGAACAGTATCAAATGAGAATCAGACGTAAGTACACTGAAAATTCACAGGTTACTTAATATTCATTAATCGTTGTGAAAAAGAAGTATGCTTAATTGTATTATATGTGTAGTGTACTTCAAATCTTAAAAAAAATATATTAAAAAAATACTGATGAAATAAAAGGTCACTTAAGTGTACTGAAAGAGAGTACAGTACATGTAACATGTCATGTTACTTAACTCACAACATTTGAAATCATTGTGATTTAAAAAAAATGACACTTACTTTGATGTGCCGACTAACATACTAAAGCACATACTTGATTATTATTTTTAACTGTAGTGTTATCTGATATTACATTTAAAGTGAATATATTTTAAATGTACTAAATTGCAGTTTAATCATTACAAATGTGTACTTACAAATATATTTAAATGCATAACATACACGTTTCAATTAAAGTAATCACATGCAAGTGGCATTAAAGTATAGTTTAGTTTACTGGAATCAGTTAATGCTTGTCAGTACAGTATGCAGTACTCTTTAACTATACTGCAAAGACCGTAGAAGTAATTATAAAAAATTATATATACAGATGTACTTATGTCCTGCTTAAGTGGGTCAGAAAAAGCACTCTTACATTCAACTAATTGCATATCTTACTTTTCAGCTAATCGCACAGTAAATAGCATGCAATTAAGGGTCAGAAAACATTGCATTCACTTTGCACTTAAAGATATTCTTTTAAAGTACATTATTTCCATAATAATTACTCTTTTAAAAGTATGCTAAAGTCTGCTACTTTTTTCACAAGGCAAGGGATAACTTTTTGCTGCACGCTACTGGGAAAGCTCTCTGCTTCTCTTCACAGCAGAGGTCTCTTCGTTGATTATAAAACAAGCTTCTAATCAAATGTGATTGGTTTGGGAATCCTTCTTTAATTGGTTCATTCGTTTCTCACTGCAGATTGGCGCTGCGAGGTCCGCTGGGCCGTCTGTACCAGGAGGTGGAGACGTTCCGTTACCGAGCTATTTCGGACACATGGCTGACAGTGAACAGGATGGAACAGTCACGGACCGAGTACAGAGGAGCTCTGCTCTGGATGAAGGACGTTTCTCAGGAGCTCGACCCGGACACACACAAGCAGATGGAGAAGTTCCGTAAGGTCAGTCTCAGCCTGGAAATGACAGTGTGACTGCACTGAAACCGTTTCTCCAGCAGAAGGAGTAAGTTGTCTTCTAAATCATTCTCATCTAGAGTGGGATTAGAATCAGAGGTCTGCTACCCGACCCGAGCCCGACGGGTCCCAAAATACTTTCGGGTTTCGGGTCGGGTTCGGGTTTAATGAATAGCTTCGGGTTCGGGTTAATAGCTAAACTAAAACTATATGCAGTAGGCTATGCTGCTTTCATAGACGCATGCACACACATTATTGCACACGACAATGACAACCCAGCACGGAAACTTTTATTAGTAAAATAGCTTCGACAGGCTGTTTTTGAAGTAACTAAGCCTCATTGCTTGTAGAGAGAGACGCGCAGACGCAGGTTCACACACGCAACTTTCAGCCCTCTCTCTCTCTCACTAATTCAAATAAATGATATAATTAATTAA